AATCCTTTTTTATTTTTTATTTCCAGACAGGTTGTTGAGGGTGAACTTTTGATCCTCCTGCCTCAGCCTCCCCACTGGTTGGGATTACAGGCATGGCCACCACACCAGTCTTAAGTTTTTATTTCTTTATATATCATTTGCTCTTTTTTGCCTAGATGCCGAGTTAATTTTACTAGAATGTGTCTTTTTGCTATGCTAGTTATTCTTAGTACTCTTAGGTATGTGATTTAGCCTTGTATAGTTTAGATGTTTTAGTATATTATTGTTATATTTGTTTTATTATTTTTCTTTTTCAGAATACCTGTTGTACATATGTTGGATCTTCTTCAGATACCTTCAGTATTTGTCACTTTCTCTCAAAATTTTTTTAATTTAAAATATTTTAATTTTTTAGATTTCCATCCTTTTATATCTTCTTTCTCATAAATTTTTCTGGTATTTTTATAACTCTATTTCTTCTATTTTGGCTTTTTCCTGAGTTTTTGCACCTAAGTTCTGGATAGATAATTTCTGAGGTGGTTGTAATTTTTATTCGTGTTTACCCTTTCATATCATGTGTTGTTTCTTAAAGCCCCTTGATCTTGTTTTGAAGTATTAGTAGATGAGAAAAATCTGTGTAGTGTTCCATCATTGTCTTTAGAGATTTGTTTATACTTACTCTTTTTTTCCTTATAATAATTTGTATTAGACCTCCACAATGTTCTTTTATTCTTTTTTATGTGATGTTAATTTAGCCTTTCTGAATACACAGCGATCCTTCAGTTTTTGTATAAAATGTTTAAGAATGTCACCTTGCCATTTGAGAATGTCTCATTCCTTTCTCCTTCACCACTTTAATCTGGAGTTTCTCTTTTCTTTTTTCCCTTTGTCTCTATCCTCTTCAGTTTAGGTCCTATTCCCAGCAGTTTCTCCTTGTTCTGGAAGAGAATTTTGATTGATTGGTTTTATCAGTTTGTAGTAACTGGAGTGTTCTGTGCCTGTAGTCTTTATTGTAGACCCTTGCACTCGTGCTGTTATGATGCTGTTTTTATATTATAGCTATCATAAAACTCATTCTTTTTAACACACTTTGCTTAGTTTTGCCTGTTGCTTATTTTGAGTTTTTTTTTCCTGTTCTTTCGGCTGGCAAATGCCCCATTGCTATTTTCTGCTTCTCACACATTTCTAATATCTCCGCAGATCTTTTTAGCTTGGTGGTAGTCCCTACCTTGTATTTGGGTGTTTTGTGCATGAAGTTTTGACTTTGTTATTTAATTGCTCTGATTTTATGAGGGAATATGGAGAAATTTAAAATTTAACTTGCTGTCACAGCCTTTGTCCCAGAATTCCCCCCAAATTTTTCATGTTTAAATGTTGTGAACGACTACCTGCTAGACTGATGACTTCCCTTGTGATTGCATTAAGTACGAACTAAACTACAGTTAATAGTTGACTACATATTGTATTTCTGTTGTTAATAACTATAAGATTGCTGTCTAAATTTAGTATTTTTCTACCATCTATAACAATAGATTTTATAAGAACTAAATTTCCTATGTCCTTGATTTCTTAAATCTATTAACCAGGGAAAATGAATGGTAGAAAAGTTTATATAAATAATAAATATCTACATATTTACATATTTGCTAACAGCATTGTTGGAATTTTTAAAATACATACATAAAATAGCTTTATTTGAGATGATTCACATACCATATAATTCACTCATTTATAGTATATAGTTAACTTTAACTAAGTGGGTTTTTAGTATATTCACAGAATTGTGCAATCGCCATAACAATTAGTTTTAGAACATTTTCTCACCTCAGAAAGAAACCCCAGGCTAGGCATGGTTGTGTATGCCTGTAGTGCTTGCTACTCAGGAGGCTGAGGCAGGAGGATCGTGAATTTGTAGGTAACCTGGGCAACAATAGTAAGACTCTGTTTCAAGAACAAGAAGATGGGGTTGGGGTTGTGGCTCGCCTAGCACGAGCAAGGTACTGGGTTCGATCCTCAGCACCACATAAAAATAAAGGTATCGTGTCCAACTATAACTAAAAAAAATATTTAAAAACACAACAACAACAAAAAGAAGTTGAAACCCCATACTCATTAGCCACCACACTTAATTTCTCAATTATACTCTCCTCACCATCCCTATACTGTACAATTGGCAATAACTGATCTTTCTAACTCATTTTACCTGTTCTGAACCTTTCATATAAATAGATATACAGCGTAGACATTTCATGCAGCATTTTTTGTGTTATTGACTTCTTTTACTTAGCATAATGTTTTCACAATTTATCCATGTTGTACATGTACCCAGTACCTTTTTTTAAATTTTCAAATAATATACTATTGTCTAGATAGTTCACATTTTGTTTTTATTTGTTTCCACTATTTTGTTATGAATAATGTTGCTGTCAATATTCATGAACCAGTTTTGTACAGATATTTGTTTTTATTTATCTTGGGTATATAACTAGTAATGAGATTGAGTCAAATGGTAATTTTTTTAAGAAAAACTACCAATTTTTCAAAGCGGCTGCACCATTTTACATTCCCACAGGCAGTGTAGTTAGGGTACCAGTTTCTGCACATCCTTGTCAGCACTAATTATTGTCCATCTTTTTGACTAAAGCCATTCTAATGAATGTGCATTGGTATCTCACTGTGGTTTTGATTTTCATTTCTGTAGTGGCTAATGACAGTGAACAACTGTTTCATATGGGTCATTCATTTAAATCTCTTAGAGAAATGTCTTTTCAGGTTCTTTGTGCCATAGTTTTTGTTTGTTGCTTTTTTTTTTTTTTTTTTCTTCCTTTTGAGACAGAGTCTCCCTATGTTGCTCAGGCTGGTCTTCAACTCCTGGGCTCAAGCAGTCCTCTTGCCTCAGCCTTCCTGAGTAGCTGGAAATAGGTATGCATCACCTTGCTGGACTTTCACCCCATGCTTTTAATTTTTTTTTTTTTTTTGCCTTCTTATTGAATTGTAAGACTTCTTTTTATGTTCCTGACACATTTCTTTTATCAGATGTGATTCTCAAATATTTTCTTCTATTCGGTGGATTTTCTTCACTTTATTGATGATAGCTTTTGAAGTACAAAAGTGTTTAACTTTGATTAAATGCACATTGCCTACTTTTTCCTTTGCAATTTTGATGTTGCATGTAAGAGTATTTATCTAAACCAAAGTTACAAAGATTTATTCATATATTGTCTTACCAGAGTTTTGTAGTTTTAGCTATTTACCTTTAAGTGTATGCTTTATTTTGAGTTAATTTTTGAGTATGGTGTGAGGTAGGGGGCCCAAATTAACTCTTTAACAAGTGGATATCTGTTTGACCCACAAGTTTTGAGATACAGTGTTTTCATTGTTATTCTTTTAAGTATTTTCAAATTTCTGTGATGATTATTTCTTTGATGAGTTTTGTGGATTTTTTTTTTATTTCCACCACATTTGTGTGTTTTTTAGTTAAAGTTTTATGATTGATTTTTTACTGAAATGTATTTTGCTTATAGATTGTGGTACATATGGCACTAGTTCTTAGAGATTTTCAGAAGATATCTCTATGGCCTGGATATAATATGGTCTATTTTCATTCCTGTGTGCCAGGAAAAAATGAATATTCATCAGTTGAATTTACTTTATGTCATTTATTAATTGAAATGTGTTAAAATCTTCAAAAAAGCAGAATGTGGTGGCATGTGCCTATAGTTCCAGCTGTTTGGGAGGCTGAGGTGGGAAGATGAATTGAGACCAGGAATTTAAAGCTTCCCTGGATAACATAGTAAAACCCTGTTCCCCCCCCCCCCACACACACACACACACACAAAAAATTAAGATGGTAAATTTTTTCTTTTTTTCCTTTTAGTTTTGTTAACTTTTAATGTATAAATTCTAATATGGAACATTTCAAGCATATACAAAAGGAAAGAAAATATTATCACTATCACCCATCTTTTTTTTTTTTTTTTTTTCTTTTTGTACTAGAGCTTTAACCCAGGGGCACTTTAGTACTGAGTCACATGCTACCCCTTTTTAATTTTATTTTGAAATGGGTTCTTACTTAATTGCTTAGGGTTTGACTAAGTAGTTAAGACGGGCCTTGAACTTGGAATCCTCTTGCCTCAGCCTCCTAAGTCCTCAGGATTATAGGAGTGTTCCATTGTGCCTGACTCACAAATTTATCTTAACCACTTTGAATATATACAGCCAATCTGAGTTCATACATTTGCTCAACCCCAATTTTTATTGATTCTCCCCCCACCCCCATCATTTTTTTCTATCTTTTTTTTTTTTTTTTGTGATGCTGGGGATTGAACCCAGGTCTCCCTAGATCATTTTAAAGCAAATCCTAAACACAATTATTGTTGTTTCATACATTCATTGTTTAGATTTATAGCTACACATTTACTGCAATATTTGTTCACCATTCTTTTTGTACCTCAGCCTAACTGGAAACATTTTTCTTTTGTCTGAAATGTAAATATTACAGTATTATTCAGTGCAACTCTTAGCAATAAAGTTTCTCATTCTTTGTGAAAATGTTTTTATCTTGTGCACATTATGGAAGACTAATGCAGAGCCCAAGTTGACAGTTATTTTTTTTCCTGAGTATTTTGAAAATAATACAGTGTCTTTTGGCTCCTGTTGTTGCTGTTGAGAAATAAACAAGTCTAATTTCTGTTTCTTTCTGGATAATCTCATTAGCTACTTAAAGACTATCTTTTGGTATTCTGTAATTTTACTTAACAAATAAAAGTTTGCCATAAATAATTGAAGAATAGTAATTTCAAGTTATTAACTTTAAATTTCTTAACATTCAGTTTTTACATGGTGAATAGTGTTCTTTAAACAGTTAAGTATGTAAGGGAATACTTGCTATTTAAGAAGACCCTATGGCAGATCTTTTTGGAGTACACAGTTTGTAATTTGTCTGCTTTAAAACTTTCTTCATAAGATCTTATATATGAAACTTGATGTAAACAGGCATAACGTACTTTATCTTTGTACAGCACTATTGGAGATAATTATGAAAAATGGAAGCACTGCTGGAAATAGCCCTCATTGCCGAAAACCATCAGGTGCTGGTGATCAGAGCAAACCCAATTGCACAAAGGACAGCATATCTGGTGGTGGTGAAAGTGGAAAAGGCTATACCAAAGACCAAATAGATGGAGTTCTCAGGTAGGAATATGATTTATGTCTCAATTTATAATTGATACCAGTGTAATTTTTTGATGTTCCAACAGAACAAAGGAATTAACTCCAGTGTTTTTTGCTTCATATCCTTATGAAATTAGTCTGTAAAGTTTTCAGCTTTATGGAAGGTTCCATCTTTTAAATTAACTGTGTTACAAAGCTGCTTCAGACTTTTTTTTTTAAGGAAAACTGTTTCAATTTTTTACACAGTACATTGTTGAGGTCATGATACTGAAAGAAGATGAAGAGTTGTTTGGTCTTACATATATATAAATGCAGTAGGAGAATTTCATATGAGGAAAATTGAGAGCAATATCAACAGCTTTCAGTTTCATACATATATTAATGAAGGATTTTTTTCTATTTATATTTTTTCAAGGCTGTCTTCAAATATGTGCAACCACCATAATGTCTTCTTCTTTTAATATTTTTTTCTTACTTAGATTATTCTATCTCTGTTTTATTTTTACCTCATGATACACTTCTATGAAAAGCAGAAGAATTAGGTAGAGTTGAAAAATTATGAACTGAGGTTTGGAGATCTGGTCTTACTGATTTTATAAATAAGGCAAAGTTTTCAGGTAGTAAAAAGAACGCAGAATAATAGACTGTTTTGTTTCCTGCTACAACTTAAAGAAAGTTGTGTTGATATTGTGTCAAGGTTACTTTCCTAGGGAAACTAAAGTTTAAAGATGATTGAATCCAAACAGTGATTAATCAGATAGTTCTCTGGAGAGTGAATTATAGCATAACTTAAGTGAATAGTAGTTAAAACTAGTTAGATTAAGTCCTTTCCTTTTGCCATTTCCTATTTCTCTTTTTAAAATTTTTCTTCCTCTCTTATCCTTTTTTTCCTCCTTTTATACTCCTTTTTTTCTCATTTGTTTACTTACCGTAATTAGTAATTGAAGTATATTTGAGATGCAAGCTTTATTTATTAAGGAAAGTGATTTGTCACCATGCCTTATAAATCAAATATCAATGTGTTTGTATTTTGTTTTTTTTCTATCTATATTTAAATATAAAGCTGGATTATAATATTTTATCTGGATGTGGTCATAAGGAAAGAAGGACCCCCTAGTCATGGTAAAGCCATGATAAAGGGTATTTGATTTGTATGCACTTTGAGAATATCCATAATGCTGCTAAGCACTTTTCTAACTGTAGTACTGTGTCAGACATGGCTGAATAAGTGAGATAAGTAAATAAGTAAGAGACTGACCAGCTTTTGGATTTTTTTCAGAAAAAGCTTTAGGAAAGCAGTGTGATGAAACATTCCTGGAAACCACATCCTAAAACAAATTGTATTTTCTTTTACTTTATGTTGGTAGAGCATATTCTCCATGAAGGATTCAGAATAAAGTTAATGCATATTATGCAATTTTTTTTTTTTTTTGGTTATTATTTTCCCGTCCTAGAATATAGAATTATCTACATGTTTGAAAGTTTCATGAGAAAACTGTAGTTCAAAGTTTTGGGGAGTAAATAATCTTCTAAATCTGTTGTTAGTTTTAAAAATCTTTATTTCTTCATCTCTTCTACCCTAATGTCAGAGGGTGGGAGTAGCCCAAGGTATGATATAAATAAGTAAGGAAGAGATATTTTATACCTTTGTTTCAGTATTGATTGATTTTATATGTGTATGTTTCTCCTAAATCCAAAGGTCTTGGTTTTAGGTGGGGCTAGGTACATCCTGAGATTAGAAGAATAAAAGATGATGGTGGGTGTAGATATACTCTGTGTGTTATCAGAGTTGGAAGACAGACATAAAATATTGAGGGAGTTTTTGTCTGATGGCTTATATTCTGTTTTCTAAGAGTTAGAAGAGAGAGGTTGAAAGCTTGAGCGGTGTAGTAGAAGTATGAGATGTATGCAAAGAAGAAAGCAAAGGGAATGGAAAAATTGCTGATTTATCATTGAAGGTGCAGACACTTTGAGGCCATGAATTCCTCATAGGTAGTAAAATTAGTTTAGTATTATATCTGTATTAGAGATTTATTCTCTAACTCAATAATTTTATTATATTCTTTTATTTAACAAATATGTATTTTTTCCCTTTAGGACTGATGTGGTTGGAACATTCTTTTAGGAGCATCCCAGGTTTACTCAAAATATTTAAGTCAGTATCTTACTTAAGAGTTGCTTTGCTAGGGGAGTGAAGGGAGGGGAGGGGATTTGGGGATAGGAAGGATAGTAGAATGAAACAGATATTTATTACCTTATGTACATATATGACTGCATGATCAATGTGATTCCACAACATGTACCATCAGAAAAATGAGAAATTATACCCCATTAATGTATGATATATCAAAGTGCATAAATGCTTTCTACTGTCATGTATAACTAATTAAAACAAATTTTAAAAATTTATGAAGTAAAAAAAAGTTGTTTTGCTGAATCATATAGTACTTATTCATTGTGTTAGTTTTCATAAGCGTTGCTTTAGTGAGGAACAGAAAAGCAAACACATACTGTATGGTTTTGTGTTTTGTTTTACCTATACACAGGGGATTTTTCTCACAAAAGCATGTTACCTTGTTGGTGAGTACGATTGTGCAAATAAGTTGCTCAGTGACAATTTGACTCAATAGGGAGAAGCCATGCAATAATACTGTATTCATTGCATAAGTAAGAGCTACCTTATAGTAAGATTGAAGAAAAATTTTATAACTTAGTTAACTAGTATACTGTGAAATTAACCTCTATTTGTTGTTTTTGAGTCAAAATATTAAAAAATAATTGAGGAAAGTATCATGGATCTTATTTGAACAAGCTATTAATATATAATTGAAAAAGACCATCTTTATTTAAAAGTATAAGATTAGCATGAAATCATTAATAGAGCTATTATATGTATCTAAGAACATTTCTGTACAACTCTTAATTTAGTAGAATTATAGGGATTTGAATTTTAAGATTTGGCTTAAGCTCTATTTCTTTAAATGAAAAGAAAATAAGTCATTTTGCTAAACTTGTAAAAGAAATAATCCTTTGTCTCAGAAATAAGTATTTCCTCCAACACCAGTTAAATTTGGAGCCTATTTAAATAATCAGGTATAACACATAAAAAAAGAGAATTGAAAGATGACCCTCCTTTCTTACTCACATAAAGGCTGGACTAGACATACTTTTCTCATTATTAATCTCCATGCAGATCTTTTTGGCCTTGTGCAATATTCCCTTCCAAAATAGGTAATGGGTTGTCCCTGTGTTTCACTTTTTTTATGTTATAAAGAAAAGAGGTTTATTTTGGTTTATGGTTCTGGTTCAAGGTTGAGAGGCTGTATCTATTGATGGCCTTCTTGCTGGCGTAGTCCCAAAGCAGCACGGGGCATCATGTGGCAAAAGACAGAGCATGCATGTGTGAGTTACCCCTTTTTAATGTATTTTTTATTCTTTGGTAAGGTTGAAGAAGGTTCTAATCTTTCAGAAAAGAGCAGACTGTAAAAATTGTGACAAATACATATAGATGGTGAGAAAGATCATGATGAACAACACTAAGAAAGTAGATATGTGAATGGTAATTCTTATTCAGATGTGAAAAAATAGGTGAATGAAGTGTACTGGGAGCATTGTTTGAAATACATAGTCGTCATCTTGTCCATTAGCGACTTTACATCTTTGTTCTGGCTTCTCAAGAATTTTTCTTCCAATATGTCATGAAAAATTAACAGCAGGAAAGATATGGTGGAGCTGGATACAGCTAAGAATTAGTGAAATAATTGTTTTTCCTGTCTAGACTTTCTCTCTTGTCAAGTCTTAGGTTTATGAGGTATATCTAGAACACTGAGAATTATATCCTATTTTTTCCTATACAATCTATCAACCCTTTCCCCAGTTGGCTTTTTCCATTGCTTAACCTTTTGTGCTCAGGAACTATCAACAAAACAATTTTAGAGTGTTAATCTGGAATATAATTAAACCTCTTACATATTCAAGTCAAATTGTAATGGCTTTAGGATTTTTCAGTGTTTATCACTATCTTTTCTGCATTCAGGTAGTTCTGCTGTATTCTTAGCTCTATTTCTCATTGCACAGTCTGCTTTTAACTGCTTCTTCTCTATTCCAAATTGACTCTGTTGGCAGCTACATTTCACTATAGCATTCATCACCATTTCTGTTCTTTTTACCCTTCCATTCCATCTGAGCATCCTTCCATCCCTCCATCCATCCTGTCTGTCCAATCATCCAACACATATAGAGAACAAGACATAATCGCTGCCTTTAAAAGAGCCTCTATTCTAGAAGAGTAGTCAGAAAAGTAAACAGGCAATACATTGTGGTAATTGTTGGGATAAAACTAAATTTAGAGGGCTTTGGAAGCATTTAAGAGAGGCATCAAACCTCTAAGTATTTAGGTTTATTCAGTGTTTATCAGTATCTTGGGAAAAAATAATTAAACTGAGGTCTGAAGAAGTTGTAGAAACTAAACAAGAAAAAAGTAGGGCTGGGTGAGACAGGATGGATTGCAAGTTTGAGGCTAGTTCAGGCAATAAAGTGAGACCCTGTCTCAAAATAAAAAGGACTGGGAATGTAGCTCAGTAGCTGAGTGCTTGCCTGACATTCCTGAGGCCCTGGATTCAGTAATAAATTGCCAAAACAAAGGCAGAGATGGAGCATTCCGGCCATCAAGAAAGAATATTTGTAAATATCTAGGAGGGAAGAGAGTCTGCTTAAGTAATGATTATAAGAAGGAAGTGGAAAGGGAGAGGAGAGTCACTGTGGAGTCTGAAGGGGCTCTTTTGTCTTTTTTATTCTGGTTCTGAGACAGCAAGATTTTAAAATCAAACAAACAGAATCATTATTTGTGAGTCTTCTCCAATTACCCTCTTTAAAATAGCAAGGTTAGCCGGTTTGGCAGTACATGCCTGTAATCCCAGCTACTCCAGAGGCTGAAGTAGGAGGATCACAAGTTCAAAGCCAGCCTTAGCAATTTAGCCAGGACCTAAGCAACTGAGTGAGGCCCTATCAAAATAGAAACAAAGGTCTGGGGGGTGTTGCTCAGTGGTAAAGCACCCCTGGGTTCAATCCCCAGTACCAACAATAAAATACCATAGCAAGTTTACCCCTTTGTTTTATATTACTCTTTACCCCTTAATTTTTCTCCAAATGTTTATCACAATATGATATACTTTATATTTTACTTATGTATTTATTTCTTGCTTATCCTCTCCCATTTCTAATGTTAATGAGACTAGAGACTTTTTTTTTTTTTGACTGGTTTATTCACCATTGTAGCATCTGAAACAGTGCCTAGCTAAAAGTAAATGGTCAGTAAATTTTTGTTAAAGAAATAAATCCTTATGCTCATCTATTACTTGGCTGTGTGACTTTAGACAACTTACTCAACCACTCAAAGCCGTGATTTCCTCATTGGCAAAATAGGAATAGTAGGGGCTGGGGTTGTGGCTCAGCGGGAGCACTCACCTAGCACATGAGAGGCCTTGGGTTCAATCCTCAGCACCACGTAAAAATAAATAAAATAAAAGTATTGTATCCCAACTACAACTAAAAAAAAATAAATATTTTTTAAAAATAGGAATAGTAATAATAAATGAAGTAATTTGTATAAAATAATCAGCACAATAAAACTCCTTTAATTCTTTATATGAAATCTTTGTGACCAAATAGTTTGGAACTTAGAATTATTCATCTTTTAGAAAATTAAGGATAATTATAGACATTATATAACAGCAGGATCTGAAGCAGCAGCCCATATATCATATACAAGTAGCAACACTTTGACAGCAAAACATGCAACTCTTCACCCAAATTGGATAAATGAATACTGAATTATGCATCACATTAATTTTGGGTTAGATTTTTGCCTCTAAAAGAAATTCAAGTCAGGTTTTAAAATAATTTTTCAAGCTTTATGGACATGGGTATTAGGTAACCATGGATGTAGGTATTAGGGTGAGTGCCACCCTCCTCTCTTTATTTCCTGTTAAATAGTTGCGAAACATATCTAAGAAAATGAGTCTCCAGAGGTGAGGATTTCTGTTTTGTTTACTAATGTATTTCAAGTGCCTAGAACATTGGGGCATAGTTGCTATTCAATTAAGTATGATTGACTGAATAGAAGAAGTGTTGTGTTTTTGAAGTAAAACTGACTTGTGTTTATATTTTAAGTATCTAAAGTAGAAAAAAATAGAATTTTAATTTTTATTAATTTTATAAAGAAGGTGGTATAACAGATTCTTGTTGGTGTGTTTATAAAAATTTTATACATTTCTATGCTCTTATATATAATGCCTCTCCCACTCATCCCCCTCCTGCCCCTTGCCGACACCTCAGTTCATATAACAGAGAATGAATGCTTTCATTATTAAAGGAGAGCAAAGGCTCATTCAATTAAAAAAAAAATATCTGAGAACCTTCCATGTAACAAGCACTGTGATGGCAAGTAGTTTAGTAGTTAATTAAAAAGATGAGCCTTGTGTCTTTTCTGAGTCAGTCTTTGAAGTTCTTTTGTTACCTGTGACCAATTATGCCTCAGATTATTTTACCCATTACTACTACTGTCAAGACATACATACATGGAACACAACTAAAGTTGCAAAGTACAAAAAATTTTGAAACTGTACCATGTCTCTTTTGATGTTGGCGATTGAACTCAGAGCCTCACACATGCTGTGTACACTCTACCACTGATCTGCAACTCCGGATGTGTGATAATGCTGGCATACCAAGGTACTTAACAGTCTTACTCCATTCAGAGTATTCTTTTTCAGCTATTAATGTACTTTAAGTACTCTAGGCTTAATTCTATTTCATCTTTCAGGTATACACTATGTAAATCATCTTTAGGAGTGTGCTCATCACAGTGGAAATGAAGTGTAACAAACAATTTTGTAGTCCCTTGTTGTATTTTATCTACAAAAGCCCCAGTGTCTTCTTCATAGAGTTTCAGATAAATTCTCATTAGCATAATCATGCTGAATTAATGTACCTTCAGGAATAAACCATAGGATACTTCTTTGATTTACATACCTAAACTGTTGCACTGATACTTCATTAGATCTACATTATGCAATAACAAAATTCTTGGAAAGTAATGTATATTTATTTTTAGCTTTGACATACTTTTGGGCAGTTTTGGATTTTTTTTTTTTTTTAATCCATCGAAATGTACTATAAATTGTTCTTACTCTTTCATTTTAGTTACAATGAATGTGCTGTCCTTCATCTACAGTTATCTCTTTAGTTGTGATAAATTGCACTAAGGACATTCTCATGGATCATTCTCCTTAGACTGAGAAGAGATTGGAGGAATGGTCTATGACCAGTCAAGAGAATGAAGCAAACCAGCCCTTAAAGGGATAAGCCATCATTAGATTTTGAGAAAACAATTCACAGATAGTTCTTTATACTATTTTAATAAATTGAAAATTAGAGATATTATATGACATTCTTCCTTGAAATTTACATTGTAATACACTTTCTTGTTTACAGCATTAACAAATGTAAAAATTACTATGAAGTACTTGGAGTTACAAAAGATGCTGGTGATGAAGATTTGAAAAAAGCTTATAGAAAGCTTGCTTTGAAGTTTCATCCAGACAAAAACCATGCACCTGGAGCAACAGATGCTTTTAAAAGTAAAGTAAACTTTTTAAAGCAACTTTACTAAGCTTTTTTAGATTTTACTTGACAGTGTTTCAGAATATTAAATTCTGCTTTTGGACTGGTGCGTTTAGAAATCAGCATAAGCATGGGTCTGCAAACCCTTTAAAACTTTAGTATCAACTTATTTCATGTAGAGTCAAACAAGTGCAGATTTGGCTTCACAAAAGCTACGTGCCAGTTTTGACATAGTCCAAAGTAACTTTTTTAGGTATCCATGCATGCTTTCTAGTTTACTGTGAATAAGTAGAGTGATAATTTTGCATGCACTTTTAGCATATTGCCATCTGGTTCTAAAGTCAACTAAAAGCAAAATGTAGTTTTGAGTTTTTGCTATAGACTGTCTAGAATTCAGGTGTTGGTTAGAATAGCTCTCTCTCTAGTATTCTTATATTTCTATTAAACCCGGCCACTTTTGCAGTCTTTGTATGTAGTTCTGATGTGATTTTCTTCTACTTTTTAAAAACTGGTTTCTTTTCTCCTTCCTACAATTCATTTTTTCTTTATTTTATTTCTCAATATTCTCTCAGGTTCTTTTTTGTTTTTTGGTCAATTTGGTAAATAGTGTCAGCACTATTTTATAATTTTGTGTTTTGTTACAACTTATTTGTAGTTCACTAATAATTTATAGTAAAAATGCTTAAATTTGTGATTTTTTGTGTGAATTTGAGGTGTTAGAATAGGTGTATTATGTTTTCAATAAAATGATGGGGCGTTAGAATAATAGAAAGGAGGTAATCTTTTTTTAGTGTTTTGAAAAGGTGGAAGACTCAATTGATCTTTCATAAAAATACTATTAAAATTGTTTACAAAATAGTTTTATTTCTTGGAAGAAGTTGCCAAGAAAATACATTTGGGAATTACTAATGTGTTCCAATAAAAGCACTGCCAAAGTGGTGCTGGTGAAAGTAAAATACCACAGTGACAGGGAGAGCCTTCTCAGTTTGTTTCCTTAAATTAAAAGTGGCATGTTGAAAGTACAGGAAAAGTTCCTTTTTCAGAAACATTAACAATCATACTTCTGTCAGTTACCTAAAGAATGGATCCAGAAAATAGGGCTGTTATTTTCTGTCTTGCAAATATAGACCTTACGTTATTAAACAGAAATAACACAGATAATAGCACTTGGGTTAATTTCTCATTCAACAGTACAAAAAGTTGGGAAATTTTTGGTAAAATTTTCAAGTAGAATAAATATTTAATTTGTTTTATTGCAGGTGCATAATTTTTACAAAGAATTTTAAATTTTAGTAAACAAAATGTATTTCACATATATAGCAGTTAACCAGAAAAATCACTGACATCTTTAAATAATTTATTATCATGTTACCCCCAATTTAAAAGTTCCACATTATAAGAGCATTTAATTTTAAAATCTTAGAAATATTTGACAATGGATTATTTGCATGTTTGTGTGATCTGCTAGGTGATATCAGTATTAATTCTTCATTAATGTTAAGAACATTAAATATTTTATTTCTCCCACTTCTAAATTGAAGTCATATTAGCATTATGGTCTTTGACTAATACTAAGTATATGCACCTATATTTCTACAACTGGAGTTGCATTTTAAAGAGATGAACTGCATAAATGTCATTCCACAAAGCCACCTAGATTTTCAGTGGGCTGTTTTTGTTTGTTTGTTTTTAATTTGTGTTTTACAGTATTGGGAATGAAACCCAGGGCCTAAAGCACACTAGACACTAAGTTGCTGAGGTTGGCCTTGAACTTGGCAATCCTCCTGTTTTAGCCTTCTCAGTAGTAGGGATTACAGTCATGTACTACTACATCCAGTTCAACAGGATTTTGCAAAGGTGGTTGTGCTTAGGAGTGGTGTCTTTCAGAGTTTTAATGCTCTTTTTTGCAAAATGAGAAACTTATCAACATGCTGAAAGGTGATTTATCTCTAGGGGAGAGGTTTACATTATTCAATACACAAGAGATTATCTGTAAGCCAGCATGCCAATTTATTAGTCCCAAAGAGGATCAGAATTGGGAATTGGCTGATAAGTAGAAACTAGATAGAAAACCCAAGTTGTAATCCATAGATGGTTGGGTTAGCAGATATAGTTTGAACATCATTCAGCTAGTATCATCATACAGAAATGACAGGTTTTGTTAATTTAGCACAAAGGATTTTTGTCATTACTTTCTGAATCATCTTACTTCATTTGATCTTAACTTGGTGTTGGAATATCGAACTATTCTCTCTCTCTTTTTTTTTTTAATATTTATTTTTTAGTTTTCGGCGGTCACAACATCTTTGTTTGTATGTGGTGCTGAGGATCGAACCCGGGCCGCACGCATGCCAGGCGAGCGCGCTACCGCTTGAGCCACATCCCCAGCCCAAACTGTTCTATCTATAAGTAGAGGCAATATGCATTTCTTTTATATGAAAGTTAAAGTGTAGATTGATAGCTTTTGGAAAGATTATTTTATAAAAAATGGAAACCACTTGATTTGCGTCTTCTCCAAGAACAGGAAGAAGTAATTGATTAAGGGAATTAAAATAGATGTTTCATTTGTATGTTTTTGAGAAGCTTTGAAAATAAAAGATTTCTCAAGGTAAGTGTACTATATGTGGCTGTTTGATCATTCCAGTTAGGATTGTAAGTTTTCAAAAGCAGCAAAGATTTTATTTACATATAGAGTGATTTTCACAATATATCTAAATATATTCAGTTTTTTTTTTTTTCATATTTATTTATTTTTTAGTTTTCGGCGGACACAACATCTTTGTTTGTATGTGGTGCTGAGGATCGAACCCCGGCCGCACGCATGCCAGGCGAGCGCGCTACCGCTTGAGCCACATCCCCAGCCCATATTCAGTTTTTTTATATTACCTTTCTCGCTGACATAGATGCCATTAAAACATGCTCAGGCTTAGGACATAGCTCGGTAATAGAATGCTTGTTTAGCATGTGCAAAACCCTGAGTTCGATCTTCAGCACTGCCAACACAAACAAAAAGACAACCAGTTTATATTATCTCTGACTCTCAAGTATTTCAGAGATTATTTGAATAGTACCTCTGCCTATTAGCATCTATGTGAACTCAGTAACAGGGCATTAATTGCTTAAGTGCTTTCTTGAAAAATAGTTATGAATCAGGTGCTGTTGCTTGTATTAGGTCTTGAGTTTAATAATATCTAGAAAAAATAACATGGCAGTGAACTGCTTGGGTGTTTATTTCTTTTTTGTCCCTTGTATTCCAGGTTGGGTGTTGGAGGATCAGGTAACCCCCAAACACCAATGAGCATAGACCAAAAAAAAGCCCTGTAAAAGTTGTGTTGTTGTTCCGCCAAATGACCAGGAAAGGGACAGCCAAGTAAGAAAAATAATAGTAACTCCATAGCAGACAAATCTGACCCTAATCTAATCCATAATGGCCAAAGCTAAGTAGAGACCCCAGACCACCCACCATCTCCATGCTGTAATGAGATGCTCTAACACCCACTCCCCCTGCAGGGGTGGTGACAGACAAATGAGTTGAGAGCTTGGAATTTCACCTGTACTAGGCAGTAAGAAAAGCTCCCACCTTTTTCACTCTTCCCATTCTTTCCTCACAGTGTTAGTAGAGATAACTTAGGGGATTCAGGACTTCTGCCCTTACCTAGAGATTCAATGGTGATCATTGTCCTTCCCACTGGGGTGGTATTAGATGTGGCCTAGTGGATTGCTAGGACTTTCCCCACCATCTAGAGGTAACAAAGCCATATACTTATGGTATCACTGAAGTACATAGAGAGCAGTAATGAGGCAGCCTTTCTCTTCCTAATCAGGTAGACATAAGTAGAGTCTTCATGGGAAACTGGAAATTCCAGCTCCACTCAGCAGTAATGAGGGGCTCCCCCATGCCCTGCTTGGATTGTCATCAGAGTCCAAGAGGGAAGCCTGAACTACTATTTCTACTTGAAAGTAATGAGATCATGTTCCCCCCTACTCTCCCAGAGTGCTGTCAGAGGAATACAGTTAAAACACAAAGTTTAAATTAGACCCGGAATCTCATAATAGCCAATATAAATATTTCAACTGAAAGTTACTTGTTATTCCAAGAACCAGGATCTCAAGAAAAAGTTAATCAAGAGATACCTACATGAAGATGACAGAAAAGTTATAACTGCTAAGTAAGGATTTTTTTAAACATTTATTTTTTAGTTATAGGTGGACACAATATCTTTTATTTTTATGTGGTGCTGAGGATCGAACACGGTGCCTCATGCATGGTAGGCGAGTACTCTACCTCTGAGCCACAACCCCAGTCCCCCCAGTAAGGATTTCAAAGTAACATTTCACTGAGCAATTACAAATAAGCCAGAAACAAGCAAAAAATAAATAATCTCAACAAAGAAAGAAGAAAATGGAATATTACAATTAAATAAAAACTATCAATAATTGAAATAACCACAATAGGATGGATAGAGGAAAGAACTGATGAGCTAGAAAATGGAAAAATGGATATTATCCAATCTGAACAACAAAGAATACACTGGGGAAAAAAAAAAGACAAGCCTCATAGACAGATAAAAGTATATAAAATAAATGTAAACAAGATATATAAGACAATTGTGTTACAAAGGGGAAAAGATGAAGTGAAGAGAAATAAGGGTTCTATACTTCTAAATAATAAAATCATTATGTTATGTGTATAATGCCCAAAGCAACCATTAAAGAGCTGTTTAGAAGAAAAACACTCAGAAAACACTAGAGACAAATCAAAATGGAATTCTAAAAAATGGTAACTCACAGGAACTAAGGAAAAAGAAAACAGAAGAAAAGCCAAAAAGTGAGTGACAGACATAAGGCTTAATTACCAGTAATTTCCTTAAATGTAAATAATCTAAATGTACCTATTAAAAGATAAATTAGTGGGCTGGGATATAGCTCAGTTGGTAAAGTGCTTGCCTTCATGTACATGGGTTCAATCCCTAACACCACCAAAAAAAAAAAAAAAAAATTAGCAGGGTGAATTAAG